AACACTGGCACGGAGTTGAAAGAGCCTGGAGCTTTCGGTCGCAACCTGTCTCCCAGGTGGGTTGATGCTACGTATGAGTTAGATGGCGGTGCACACACCAAGTTGGTCGCGGAAGGCTGGCAGTGGATGACAAACAGTCTTCAGGCGACATTGCAGCTATATCGTGGGACCAGCAATCTAGATCAGTGTTCTATCGAGATTGACAGTTTTCTCACGATGCAGTATCATGGTCAAGGGCTGCATGCGCGCCTCGATTTCTCTGTTAGTCAAGCGCGCGATCTTGTCAGTGGCATCCCCATGGACACTGATGCGATCTCCCAGTTCCTAGACGAGGTGAATGATGACTTGGAGGCAGCGGTATTAGGCATGAATAAGGAGTCTGCGCAGTTGTGGAGTGAGTGGTGCGCCGAGTCAGTTTCCCGCGGTGCGCGTGCCCTTCGCAGACTCACGAAGGCCAAGGCCATGCTGGAGCCAGCTCAGTGTTCAGAGCCAGTCGTCTCAGGCAGTCCAGTGGCGATCGTCGAGAAAGAAGTGGAGATGTACCAGAAGTTGCGGAAGGCAAGCGGACACGCACCTTATGCTTGGGTGCCAGATCGGAGCACGTGCCCAGTGATGGAACCCGAAGCTATCAGATCGGTGGTGAGAACCTTCCCGACTGGAACGTCAGCTAGTTTCGATCATTTCCACCCTCGGCACGCGCTCATGCTAGACGACAACGCTTTGGAAGTGCTTAGTACGATTTTTCAACGTTCTGAGGCTATAGGGCTGCTCCCTAAGCAGTTATGTTGGATACAAGTGCCGATGTTGGGAAAGCCGTCAGGAGGCAACCGTTTGATCATACTGTATGCTGGAGTGTACCGTATCTGGCAGCGCGCTCGCAGATGGATGGTATCAGGCATCAGTCAGCAGCTTTCTCGTAGATATTGGGGTGCAGCGAAAGGACGTTCGGCACTTGACTGTGCTTGGTTGCAGGCGGCACGAGCTGAGAGCGATCATCACAGCAACCGTCATCACCTCATGTGGGTCATAGATTGGTCCAAGTACTACGAGTCCATACCGTTGGATCTGCTGCGAATGAAGTTTCTGAAAGTAGGAGTGCCTGTATGCTGGCTCAAGCTGGTGTATAACACGTGGAGGTCACCGCGTGTCATTCGCTTGGGCAGGCATCCGTCTGCCACACCTTTATTTGCTGTGTGTGGCCTACCTGCGGGCGATGGCTACAATGATTTGACGGTCAAGGTGCACGCATATGAAGAGTTTGATGAGTACATATCCAGATGCCCTGCGATAGATTTTCTCAACTACATAGATGACACGGCTCTCAGCAACGGTGCCAAAGATGAGGCGATTGCAGTGAAGGTCTCTGCGCACGTTATGGTTGAGTTCCGACGTACTTATGAGAAGCTCTCGGCTGGTTTCAATTATGAGAAGATAGGCCTGCTGGCGTCCACCCCGAAGCTCGGCCGCGCGGTGCTCGACGCGCTAGATATGCCGCACTCCATACTCAAGCAGAGCGTCTCCTACCTCGGCGTCGACGAGGCTGCCGGAGCCAGGCGCGGTGCAGTAGGGGTGAGAGCCACGCAAGCCAGACGTTTTTCTGGAATGAGATTGCGTCTGAGGAAAGTCAAGTTTTACAAGAAACGGTTTAAGGGTCGGAAAGAGGCCACATTTTCCAAGATTTGCCGTGCTGGAGTTGCTCCAGCTAGCAGTTTTGGCGCCGAGGTTTCAGGCCTTAGTCAGGCCGAGTGGGGGTCCCACCAGCGAATGATGTGTAGTGCTGACGCCCCCTGTCACGGCGGGGTTTCTTTAACTGCGAAGCTGGTGCTTCTTGGGGACAAGAGCTCTCGTCTCGCGGTGGCCCCTGCGATCCATTGGTGTAGGATGATTTGGACAGCCGCCACTCAGCCCGAGCGAGCACTAGTCAGTAAGAGTGAGCTTCTTAGGCTCTGGGACTCGGCCCAGCCTCTGCAGGGTGGTCTCTGGAGCTCCTCTCGCGGCCCTATCCGTCGCGCGGTACTAGTGCTACAGAGAGCTGGGTGGGAGGTGCTAGGACCTTTGGAGCGGAATGATCACAATGGTTTCACGGTGAAGATAGATCAGATCCCTCCTGCCCTGTTGGCCGAGATGCTGGAGATTCGTATTCAGCGCCAGCATGAACTGACTCTAGCAGCTAAATTAGCCCCCCCCCCCCTGGGCACAGGGCCACCTTGGATATCGTGCGGGACCGCTTGAGGCCAAAAGCTAAGGGTCTGGGTAGGCACGCCAAGTTTTTAGTGAAATGCTGTGGGTGCAATGGAGTGTGGACCAACGAGAGAGGTCGTTTGGCGGGTTACGCTACGGACGGGCGCTGCGAGTGCGGACAGGTCGACACACTCCACCACAGGCTCTACGCGTGCACGCGTGAGGATGTCAAAGTAGCTCGAGACGGGTCGGGCGCCACGCCAGAGCATGTTCAGGCAGCGCTCGAAGATCCTGATCTCGGGATTTTTACCAGAGGGATTTTTGTGTATCCAGATAGTGAGTTGCCCAAACCGAGTACGTCGTCTGAGGTTGAGTTGTTTGATGCCTTGGGCAACCCACTAGGCATGGATCCTGAACAGATTGCAGACCTTTCAAGCGATCAGGTGCTCCGTCTTGTATCAGACGGATCTTGTTCCAAGCCTCCTATCCGTGCGCTCCAGCGAGCAGCATGGGCCATCGGAGTGCTGCCCGACGTTGGAGCGGCACCTGAGCCAGTTGCTGTTTTACGTGGCGTAGTCCACGGCACTTTTCCGCAGACACCTGCATTGGCTGAGCACGTTGCGATTGCTTTGTGCGGCCAGGTGGCGAACAGACCCGCGGTGCTCGGCGCGGATTGCACGTCGGCAATAAAAGCGATACAGCGCAACATTGCTCACCAGTTGGCTGCCTCATCGAAGTTCGCTGGCATTCGTCTGTTCGCTCAGAGCCTCGAGGGGCAGCAGTGGCTCCAGGAGGTTCGACATGTGAAAGCGCACCGCTCACAGGCTGTCATAGATGCGCTGCCAGACGGCGAGAGGGAGTTTGCTGTTGGCAATTCGGTGGTGGATCACCATGCCAAGAAAGCTCTGTTGCAACATGTCGGTGCAGACCCAGAGTTTCTCGCTTTTGTCAACCTTGCCCCCGAGAGGGCGAACAATTTCGTCAAGATTGCCACTGCCGTGCTACCTCTGTATAAGAACGATCTCAGGTGGCCCCGTCCTCCCCGCGCCCCGAGGCGCACGCAAAACAGGCTCCGCGTCGGCTGGCACGACTGGCGGGACGGGGCCGCGGGATTTCATTGCAGCCGTTGTCTGAGACTCGGCGGGAACGCTCGATCGCAGCTTGATCTCACTGGTTGTACTGGTGTACCCCCTCTCATAGACAAGGTGCTCAAGGATCCCCAGGGGCACCTTGTCGTCGCGGCTGGGCTGGCTCGAAATCCTGCCTCGGTCGATGTCGTGTGTGCGATCCCTGAGAAGCAAAGCTATGTGTGTTTAAAGTGTGGAGGGTGGTCCCAGGGCCGTGCTTTGAAGTTGGCTGGTCCCTGTTTGCCCCCCCACCAAGAAGGGCCAGGAAGTTATAAACCGCTTTTTTCCAGGGTAAATCTCCTAATCGCAAGTGTGCGGAGTTCCTGGGTCGTACTGTTCCCCTTGCTCGACTGGCCCCCAAGAGGCCGTCGGAGAGAGTACCCAGGAGCCCCGCGGTGTCTGACTCTACGGTGGTTTCTATTCCTTCGGCATCAGGGGCCGCCTTTCCCTATGAGGTGCGTCTGGCAGCCCTTGTGGAGAGAATTCGTGACAAGGAAGCTGCCTTGCCGAGAGGCTAGTATTCTGACCTGAGCCCAGGATTTAGTGCTGTGCACTTTCCCCGCCAGGGCATTTCATTCATTCATTCATTCATTCATTCCTGCTCATCTTTCTCCTCCTCCTCCTCCTCCTCCTGGTCCTCCTCCTCCGCCTCCTCCTCCTCCTCCCTCCTCATCCTCCTCCCTCCTCCCTCCCTCCCCCTCCCTCCCCCTCCTCCTCCCCTCCCTCCTCCCTCCTCCTCCCTCCTCCTCCTCCCTCCTCCCTCCTCCTCCTCCCCCCTCCTCCTCCCTCCTCCTCCTCCTCCTCCTCCTCCTCCTCCTCCCTCCTCCTCTCCTCCCTCCTCCCTCTCCTCCTCTTCCTCCCTCCTCCTCCTCCTCTCCTCCTCCTCCTCCCCTCCTCCCCCCTCCTCCTCCCTCCTCCTCCTCCTCCTCTCCTCCTGCTCCTGCTCCTGCTCCTGCTCCTGCTCCTGCTCCTGCTCCTGCTCCTGCTCCTGCTCCTGCTCCTGCTCCTGCTCCTGCTCCTGCTCCTGCTCCTGCTGCTCCTGCTCCTGCTCCTCCTCCTCCCCCCTGCGCCCCAGCGTCGTAGCCTTGCATGCGCTGGCCCGCGAAGGGCGGCAGGAAACGGCGCAGCCCTCGGAGGCTTAATGCCCCTGCGGTCTGGGTCGGGGATTGCGGCCCGCGGGCTGGGAGGGGCCAGCCGCGGGGGCGCAACGGCGGGGGGGGGGGGCCACCAGAGCGCCCCCCCCCCTCGGCCCTGACGCGCACGCCATCCAAAGACATCCGCGCCCGCCCCGATCCGCGGAGCCCCGACCCGCGGGCTATCGGGCGGCGAGGGGCACGGACCCAACCCGACGCCTCGGAGGGCGGGCAACGGCCCATGCTCACCGCGCGCCTCGAGGCTCCGCGGCGCGGCACCGTGGTGGTGGCCCTGGACCTATCCAGGCGGAACGGGGGTTCAAGCACCCTGCTTATTCATCCTACAAAGGAGGAGCTGATCCGCCAAGCCACCTATGTTGGGAACGCCCGCGCATTCCGATTATGCCAAACTGCAAGTGAGCACCAATAGGGAACCTGCAGTGGGAAAATGCGTCCGCGTGTGATGGCGGAGGACGAGAAGAGATAATGATGACGTACGATGGGGGTACGACGGAGGGGCGGACGAGGAACCCGTGGAAGACTACCAGGAGGGGAAGTGGATGTGAGGAACAGGGACAAGGAGGAGAGAAGGGGAAGGAGGAAGACTGAAAGACCAGATGCGGAATCCCGCAGCCGAAGAGCCTGCGGCCACGCGGCCGCTGGGAGACTACTTGGCCTCGTGGCCTGACTGACCTGCCGCGAGTGGCTCAGTCTCCCACCGCAACTTCGAGCCGCCGCCAGGGCCGAGGACTGCGCCTGTCACAGGGGGGGGGGCGGGGCTGCTACATCTGCGCAACTGACGTCGGCGGCGCTGCAAGTTTGAGGGGTTCGTGAGGACTCCCGGGGGGTCATTGGCATTCTCATGTAAACCCTACCAGCGCAAGCCAAATTTCAAAAACAACTGCCGGGGGTCAGGATTTGCAGGATGTCTGGAGCCAACTGATCTCCAGCGGGGGTGTCCGATAACCAGGCATCGAGAGGACCCTTAGGGGTTGGACTCGCAAGTGGTCGCAGGATCAAGGCAGCTGCGTACTGACACAGCTCAAAATGTTCGCCGTCGCTATGGAGACCTCTCGCGTCCTCCTACTTTGGCCAGGGGGGCACCATTGGGCGCACGCGGGGGGTTACGGCAGCCTCGCGGCGCAAGCCATCCGCTGTCGTACGGATGTACACGAGAGCGCACGCTCTCGGCCAATCCGCTTCCCTCGAGCCGCGCGAACGCACGGCAAGCCCGCCCAGAGCGCGCGAGTTATACGGCAGATCTGCCCCTGCGCATGATGAACATCGTTTAACCGATCCCTATCCCCACCGGCGTGGCCCGCGCCCCACTGGCCGATTTACTCCCCTGGGTGGGGATACAGGCTGTTTCCTTCGGGCTTCGAGTGGCATATCTCCAACTGGGGTGGTGGGATGGGTGGGATCGTGATGGGGATGGGGATGGGGATGGGGATCGTTCGAAGGATCCCCACATGAGGCCTAGTCAGATCCACCCTTGCAGCATACGCAGGTGAGGCGGCTGGAAAGATCCAGGCTTAGGTCGGGCATGTCCCCCTGCAGGAGGATTTTGGACGAAAGATAAAAACATGGATTCAACACATCTTCAAAAATAGTAGAAAAAATGTCTCCAGACTGTTTTTTGACTATCGTTGTATATCCCTCTGTAGAGGGACAGGCACGACGTAAATCCAAGCGGCTGTCCACCGGGGCCACAGCAGGGGCCCTTCTACAAGAACCTTTCGCAAGAAACCCAACCCTGAGACCCCAGGGCGTCCATTGATTTTTGGCCTGGGAACGTCACGCCGTCCATGGAACAACCATCGAGACCCAAGAAACCCAGGGCACCCTGGAGGCAAGCAGGGTGTTTCTTGGCATGGGCCCCCCACTGTACACAGGGGAGGCGGCTGGAAAGATCCAAGGGACGGTCCAGCGGGGGTGCGAGGGGCACGGGGGGCACCCCTGCGCAGAGACCCAGGATCCTCGCGAGTCTGGTCCCTGCAGGGCCGCAGCGCGGCCGGCAAGAGGCCGCGCGGGGAGCCAGCCGCGCTGGCGCACCGCTCGCCGCTGCTATAGATCTGGGGTGGACAGAACCTTCTCTTTCACAAAACGTGGTTTCGTGAGTCTGGTCCTTGCAGGTCCGCCGAGGCCCACGGCGCAGAGGCGCACGATCCTCGCGAGTCTGGTCCCTGCAGGGCCGCAGCGCGGCCCGCAAGAGGCCGCGCGGGGAGTCAGCCCCAGGGCTGGACCTAAACTAAAGTCGGGCCTGTTCCTCTACAGGAAGAATGCTCAAAAATAGTATGGGGACGATTGTTCGAATCTTTTTTGACTATCTATGCATCTTTATCGTTTTTTTGTTTTTCGACCAAAATCCCCCTGTAGGGGGACATGCCCGACCTAAACCTAAACGTTGTTGTTCGTTTTGCTGTCGTTTTGTTTTTCGTGTTGCTCTACCTGTTTTCCTGCACCTCCCTCCCAGAACGAAAAACAAAAAACAGCCGAAGTCCAGCAAAACAGCGTTTAGGTCCAGCCCTGGAGTCAGCCTTGCTAGCGCACCGCTCTTCGCTGCTATAGATCGGGGATGGACAGAACCCCCTTTAGTAGAACGTGGTCTCGTGACAACGACCTCGGGCCCAAACCTGGCGGGCGCAAGCCTGGAGAATGACGGCCGCGGCGCCCTCGCGAGAACCGAAAACGGACAATCCACTGATCGACGTGCCAGGGTGGGGGTATCTGTCCACCCCCGAATCACGTCGCCCTCCCCTCGCCGTGGCCATCGCTCGTGGGGCAAAGCTGGCAAACCTTGGCACGGATGGTCTGCTCTCCCACGGCCGCCGGAAACAACCGCAAGGAACGTCGGCAGTGCTCTTCGCCCCTGGTGAGAGGGCAGGAAAGCCACCCCCACAAGAATCACCCCAACAAGCGAGGCCGTTTAATAAACGCACCCACGGAAGGAACCGAACAAGGCAGGGCTGTTTAGGAAACGCCCAAGGCCGTCTAGTTAAAGCCAATTGTCCGGTCCGGGAAATTTTTCCTCCCTTGACTGGTGGCTCGCCCCCAACCTCACCCGGCACGCGCCGCGGCACCTTGCGGCGCCTTCGACTGATCGGCAGAACTTCCCAAGGACTGGGACGCGTCGGTGTCCGTGTCTACCAGCTTGAACGAAGTCATCGACCAGTGCGTGCCTGAAGGGCCGGCGGACGGCACAGACGCGTGCCTCGCAGGTCCGCGCAGAGCTCCTGGGGGGCGGCGCGGGGCCCCCTCCCCGCACCCCTTCCCTGGCCTCTGGGGCGGGGGGGGGTCCAGCGCCGACCCCAGAAAGTCCGCAGCGCACCTTCATGACATGCATGTGAACGTAAGCGACGGAAGGTAGTCCACGCGCAGGGCAGGGTAGGGGCCGTGGGGGAGGGGGGGAGGCTGCTTGGAAGCATCCCTGCTTCTCAGAAGGTGCGGGCCTAGGGCCAGCACCTTCTAAGAAGCCTTCCCTCCTCCCACTAATTACCCCCTCGTGCGTGCCGCCAAGGAAAAAGCGGGCCTTACGCAAGGGACATGGAAACTTTCGGCCGCGTCCTACGCGGGCCGCCAGCGTGGCACACCGCTTGGAGAAGAAGGCGCTCACGTGCGACCTTGCGCGGAGAACTGACCCGCGAGTGTCCGCGCAATCGAAAAAAACTGGAGAGCCCAGAATCGAATCGATAAGTCGGATCGGCGATGGAAATGAATCGCGGAAATCGGCAGCCAAATCGGGAGAAGTCGAAGCGGCGGAAAGATTTCTGCAGCTTGCCTTGGAATCCGAGGTCGACTCGGGTCGGAATCGGAGCCGATCGAAACCGAATCGAATCGAGTTGGAGGAGTCGAAATCAGCCCTGCGAGCCCGGTGTTTTGCGTCTCCCATGTCGCCAGAGAAACAAGAATCTGCATTCAAATGAAACTTTCGAAGATCCGCGCGGATTTCTTGGATCTGCGCTGAAATCCCTGCCAGGGTCGGCGCCGGAGGCGCCGCCGGAGGGTTCCAGCGCAGATCCAACAAATCCTCGCGGATGTAGGAAAATCGTTGTCTATAGTTTTCCCTCTTCAAGTCGCTTCGAGCGTGAATTAATGGGGGGGGCGCTCAGTGTGGGGGGGCGAGACGTTTAAGTCGGGCGTGTCCCTCTACAGGAGGAATATTCCAAAATAGTCACAAAATAATATGGGGACGAATTTGGACAATTTTCTTGTATTTCTTGAATATTTTCCATTTGTTGTCCAAAATCCGCCTGTAGGGGGACATGCCCGACCGAAAGAGACGTGCACCTTTCGTATCCCTTTTGGGTCCGAAGCGGCCCTTGTAGGGCCCCTTTAGGACAAAAAGGTGAACCTCTTCTCACCCCTCCATGTAATGGCCGCCCGAATTATCTGGGATAACTGCTGTCCGGTTTGAGCCCCCGAGGCGCGAATCTGCAATTACCCCAGACTGTCCCCAGCCCCAGTGATTCGGGAAGGTTGGACGCCCAAATTATCCAGGATAACTGCTGTCCGGGGTCACTCTGGTTTGAAACCCCGAGGCACGAATCTGTGGCTACCCCTGACGGGCCCTGGCCCTGATATATCTCAGGGCTCTGACAGGTTTAGGGGAACGAAAAATGGCATAAACATAAAAACCCAGAGGTCCGCGCGGATTTCTTGGATCGGCGCTGGGGCCCCCTGGCGGAGACTCTGGCGCCACCCCTGGCACGCTCCGCGCGCCAGCGAGGGGGGTCGAGCGTCGATCTGAGAAACCTGCGCGGGCCTCCGAGTTGTTATGATTATGTTATTGTTCGTTCCCATACACTTATCGCCCCCCATTGCTCGACGCCCGATCGCTCTTGGCTTCTGCGGTGCCGGATAAGGACGGGCACGGCGCGGGCGGCTCCGCCGCTGCTGCGCCCCCGCCCGTGCCATCCGGCAGCCGAAGGGGCGCCGCGCCGAGCCGCAGCAGGCGCCGCTGTCGCCCCTGGCGCTGGCCGGTCGGCGTGGGCGGCGGGCTGGCCTCCTCGAGGGCGACGAGATACCCGTCCGTCGGCAGGAAAAGTAGAAGCACGAGGTAGGAAGGCGGTGAAGCAGGCTGGGCTTCCGCTCGCCCCCCGAGGAGGGAAGAGGGGAGACCGCTCGACCCTTGAAGGAGGAAGGCGCCTCAATCATCAAATTCGGAGCTGGGCATCCAGAAGTGCCTACTTTTCACGACCGACGGGTGTACAGATCCACCGCCGCTGGCCAGGCGCATCCTGGGCCCAGGAGCGGTGCATATGCTTTCCTGGACGGTTTTCCCCGGGGCCTTAGGCGACCCGAGGAGGGGATGGCGAGGAGGAGAAGGAGGAGGGAGGAGGGAGGAGGAGGAGGAGGAGGAGGAGGAGGAGGAGGAGGAGGAGGAGGAGGAGGAGGAGGAGGGAGGAGGAGGAGGAGGAGGAGGAGGAGGAGGAGGAGGAGGAGGAGGATGGGGGAGGGGGGAGTAGGAGGAGGAGGAGGAGGAGGAGGAGGAGGAGGAGGAGGAGGAGGAGGAGGAGGAGGAGGAGGAGGAGGAGGAGGGAGGAGGGGGAGGGGGAGGAGGAGGAGGAGGAGGAGGAGGAGGAGGAGGAGGAGGAGGAGGAGGAGGTTGAGGTTGAGGTTGAGGTCGAGGGCGCTCCGAGGACGCGCGCGTCGAGGCGCGCGCGACTCGGTTGCGGCTCCGAGGCCGCGGGGCCGCGGGCGAGGCGGCGGAGGGCCAGCGGCCTCAGAGCAGCACAGCGGCCCGCTCCGCCTCGGGCCCGCTGGCCACGGCGTCGGCCCGCGGCCGCTTGGCGGGCGGAGCTCCGTCGGCGGCTCCCTCCACGGCGTGGCGGGGGCGGGCCAGGGCGGCAGCAGGGTGGCCCAGCCGCCTGCGCTTCCCAGCGCAGCTGTCTCCAGTGGCCCGAGGAGTGATCTCGACTCGGGCCTCGGCCTCGTCCAGGTCGGAGCTGAGGCGCTTGCCGCGGGCCGCGTCGAGCAGCCAGCGGACCTTCTCGTCGAACGCCTTCATCTTCTTGACTGGGGCCCCTGCCAAGGGAGGGCCAGCTCGAAAGACACCATCGCCACGGCGAAGAGTTTCAGCACGATCCCCAGCAGGACAGGGAGAGTGGGAGCCCGATGCAGGCTCCCCACTCGTGGCGGTCTCCGCCGCATCATCCTCGTGACTGCCGCAATTTATCACTGGCTGCGGCCAACTGTCAGTGGAAGTCGATGGACCCGAGGAGCCCGCTCCCAGCGGGACTGGCCTCCTCGGATCTGCCGAGCCGCAGTCCAGCGCGAGGGAGTCGCCGACGTCGGAGGGGGCTGGAGCAGCACCCAGGGCCGCCAGCTCCCTTGGCAAGGACTGGACCGCCTGCCCCGAGGCGGCTGCAGCACGAACAGCGTCAGCACGCGCGGCACGACGGCGGGCGGCCTGCTTCTTGGGGCCGAGCAGGATGCCCTCCTCTGCACGGGCAAACCGGCGTCGCCCAGCGGCCTTCGGCCAAAGGCCGCAGGCGATCCGCTGGAGGTAGTCTCGAGGAGGAGGAGGAGGAGGAGGAGGAGGAGGAGGAGGAGGAGGAGGAGGAGGAGGAGGACGGGTCGCCTAAGCCCTTCTGAGAAACCCTCCATGCCTTCCTGGCCAAGCCAGGGGGCGCACACACACCGCTGGCCTGTCCCAGGGGGGGGGGCCGGGGCCAACGGCGATGGACTTAGGTCGGGTATGTCCCCCTACAGGCGGATTTTGGATGATTCTAAATCGCGCAAAAACATCAAAAATGACAAATTAACTCAAACCATCGTCCCCATACATGTATTTTACTATTTGGGATTTTTTCCTCCTGTAGAGGGACAGGCCCGAATGAACGGTGGACATGCATAGATCTCGTCGCACTGTCCACAAAGGCAAAAACCTGCACGGCAAGTTCGCGTCGTGACATCCTCGGCGGTGTACAGGCGAAGCTTCTGCTTGAGACTTCCTCAAGATTCAAGCCTCAGGGGCCAAACATGATGACAATTACAAAGTTTAGAAGACCCGCTCGGAATCGAACGTGAGGTGCGGGCCCCATAGAGAGGGGGCTCCAGCCTGAGACTTCCTCACAAGTCACTCACAGATGAGGCTCCCACTTGAGACTTCCTCCATATTCAAGCCTCAGAGGTCCCAAAGTGACGGCAAATACAAGGTTTGGATGCCCCGCTCGGATTCGAACATGAAGTGCGGGCCCAAATAGAAAGGACGCTCCCGCCTGAGACTTCCTCACGTTTTACTCACAGACGAGGCTCCCGCTTGAGACTTCCTCAAGATTCAAGCCTCAGGGGCCCCAAAGTCACGACAATTACAAGGTTTGGCTGATCCGCTCGGATTCAAACATGAGGTGCGGGCCCAATAAAAATGACGCTCCCGCCTGAGACTTCCTCACAAGTCACTCATAGAACAAGCTCCCGCCTGATACTTCCTCCAAATTCAAGCCTCGGGGGCTCCAGAGTGACAACGGTTACAAGCTTCGGACGACCCGCTCGGATTACCATCATGAGATGCGAACCCCATAGGGAGGGGGCTCACGGCTGAGACTTCCTCACAACCCACTCACAGACGAGGCTCCCACTTGAGACTCCCTACATGTTCGTGATGATGTTTGGGTGTGGGGGGTGATGATGATGGTGGTGATGGTGGTGATGATGGTGGTAATGCGGATGATGATGATGATGATGATGATGATGATGATAACGATGATGATGATGATGACGATGACGATGACGATGACGGTGACGATGACGATGACGATGACGATGACGATGACGATGACGATGATGATGATGATGATGATGATGATGATGATGATGATGATGATGATGAGTGTGTGATGAGTGCGTGATGGTGACGGTGATGATGGTGATGATGATGATGATGATGGTAAGTGCTGGTGAGTGATGATGGATTGCTGACGGTGATGGCGAGGGATGAGGACGATGATGACGATGATGTTGCATGGTGACGATGCTGATGGCGATGATGATGAGGATGTGTGTATGATGATGGTGACGATGATGATGGTGAGGATGATGGCGATGATGATGTGGGGTGTTCCTGTTCCTGCGCGGGGGTGTCCAAAGAAAACAAGAATCCCACTTATGATGTGGGGAATAAACATTTCCGTCGCCAGGGGTGCTGCCCCAGCGCGGCTGAAAAACATATACCTTGACGTGCCACTGCAAGTGCATAAACTTTCCGGCCGTCCTGGGACATGCGCCCACGACAACGATACAGTTTATGTCGTACCGTTCTTCGCCCGCCAACTTCCAGGAGGGTTGAAAAATAAAACCAGGAAATCGACGTCTAAATTCCAATCAAAGTCTTGAGCAGTCCAGACAAGTCTGTAAATCTGGAGGGCTATTTTTAGCACTCTGGAAGGTCAGGGATATTTTTGGACGGTCCCGAGGCCCAGTGAATGATTCCCGAAGCCGAGAATAGCGAAAAACCTTCCGTCGCGATTGGGACCCGAGGTAGAAAAAGAAAACACGCCATACACATAGACTTTTGGCGTTCGGCGCCAGGGAGGGCCCAGCGCGGATCCAAGAAATCCGCGCGGAGCGCCTCAAATGTATGTTTATGGCATTTCTTCTTCTTCTTCTTCTTGTGGGCGTTTTCGTATTCCTCGTTTTGCCGATCGGCGCGGGTCCTCGCACCCCCCCCATCCCCCTCCCATGGAGTAGATCTTGGCTGTTTTCTGGCGCCTCTTTCGAGCAGGTGGAGCCTCCCGCACAGGACGCACGGTCCCAAAGAGAGAGGGGGTGGGTCTGGGATCGTTGCCGGCGAGCGTTGCCTGCGCGATGGGCCAGGATCGGCCCGGCCAGGACAGGTGCGTCGGTGCTTGTCCATTGAGCAGGGTCCGAGCGTCCCAGCACTTCGGTGGGCCTGCCACGAGTTTCTCTTGGAGGCCACACATGGTCCGAAAACAAACAGTGCTCTCGTTCTTTTTCTATTTTTTTAATCATTCTCCTTAGAACGTAAATCCGACGTGCTGGAACAAGACGGTCTCGGCCAGAAATGTTCCAAGAGCATGCCGTGCAGACCACAACCGGTTCTCAGAACATCCTTTGGTGGGCCTAGCAGGCCAGCCAGGACGTTGAGCGTCCTCTTATTCGGCGTTTCGGCATTGGGCGGAAAGGGGAGGGAAGGGGGGGGTCTGGCTCTGGACCTCTGCTTAATGCGACTGTTTGCAGCAGTGCGTCCTATGGGGAGGCTCCAAAACAGGCGCCAAAAAAAGCCAAGACCTGCTCCACGGGGGCGGGGACCTGGGGGTGGGAGGACCCGCGCCGATCGGCAAAATAATGAATAAGAATTAGGTCGGGCGTGTCCTCCTACAAGGGGATTTTGGAGGAAACATTAGAAGCAGTCAAAAACTATTCCAAAATTGTCAAAAAATGCTCAAATCATCGTCCGCATATCATTCTTGACTAGTTCTGAATCTTCCTTCTGTGGAGGGACAGGCCCGACTTAACATAAGAAAACGATCGCACGCCTCGCCGCTGCTTGGGTCGGTGCTCGGCTGCCACCCTGCGAGGCGGCGATTGTTCCATATCCACCGCCTGAGAACTGCCGTCCTGGTGCCCCAGCGGGCGGTGGATATGGATATATTTCGGCCCCGGGGGGCCCGAACATGTCCATACCCACCGCCTGCCGAGGCTCCGAAAACTAACCTTCCAGGCGGTGATCAGGCATACCTTCCCGCCTCGGACAAACCCTCCGGGCCTCGCGGGGCGCGGCCTCCCCCGGCGGCGGGCCCGCGCCGCCGGCGGGCGCCCAGATGCAGGCAGGGCGCGGCCTCGCGGCGCCGGCCGAGGGGAGGACGGCGACGGGCGCCCAGACGCCGCCCCCCGGCCCCCTCCTCCTCCTCCTCGTCCTCCTCCTCCTCCTCGCCCTCGACGACGACCGCTGTCGAGCCGGGGACCGACGACAGAATCGATCTACCCCAGGACTGATTTTCTCGCCGAGTCTAGAAAACAGAGCGCAGCATGCTGGTAGGTCAGCGGAGCAATTCTCGTACTTTTTCTCGTGGGCCCGCCTGAGACAACTGAAACATCACTCCTGGGGTATAGCAATTTGTAGACGATCCCCTGCTCGACCCGTGGCCGACTCTCCCACTCCGACGCCGCCTTGGGCGCCGCCCTCGACGACGACCGCGACGCCGTCCCCGCCCTGCGGAGACGCCCTCACTCTGACGGCGACGCTGCCTTCGAGATCTTCGTCCCACGCCAGGCTAGTCGCCAGCGTGACAGCGCGGGCCACCGCAACTCTGTTTTCTGCCCAAAGGAGTTCTCAAAAGGCCCCGCGAGTTCCCCAGGCCTCGGACGGCGAACGAGCCAGTTCGCTCCCCGCGGCACGATGACCATAGCCAGAGCAGGCGGAGGGCACCAGAGCAGGCGCGGCAATGCAAAATCCACTCGAAGAACAAATCCCGGTTCACAGAGTCATCGAGGTAGAAAAGCTACGTTTGGAATGAGACTCGCAACTCTCATTCGGACCACAAGACGGAACGACAACGAAAAGCGGGCCAGGCAAGGGACAAAATCGGGCGATGGGGGATCAGAGAAGAAAAATACCGCTACCGCTGCCCTTTCCTCGTTTCCATTTTTTTGGGGGGGGGTTCTTTGTGGTCCTCGTCGCCACCGCTGTATTCGCCTCGAAATTTTAATCAGAATGCACCCATGGAGAGGTCAGGGGAGTAGTGGTATCGGTACCTTTTGGTTTCTCCAGGGAAGGGAGGGAGGCGGAGGGAGGGGGGAGCGGGGGGCGGATAAGGAAGGCGGGCGCGAACGAACGAAAGAAGGGCCTGCAAACCGCCCAGGCACGCCGGGCCCTGGATGGCGCGCGGGCGCACGGGCAGTCAAGGTGAAGATCGAAAAAGGAAAGGGAGGGACCGAGGGTGAGGGGGTGGGAGAGGCGAGAGGAGGAGGAGGAGGAGGAGGAGGAGGAGCAGGAGGAGGAGGAGGAGGAGGAGGAGGAGGAGAGGAGGAGGAGGAGGAGGAGGAGTAGGACGAGGATGACGAGGTTGGAGGACATGGAGCCCCCCCTCCAACTCGCTTGCCATAAGAAGGAAGGGACCCCGAGGGGAAGAGAACTCTGGATGGGACTGTGCCTTCACCCCGAACTGTTTCCAGACGGTCCTGGGGAAAGGCTCCAGGGAGCCGAGAGCGGTGACTCCTCCTCCTCCTCCTGCTCCTCCTCCTCCTCCTTCTCCTCCGCCTCCGCCTCCGCCTCCGCCTCCTCCTCTTCCTCCTCCTCCTCCTCCGCCTCCTCCTCCCCCCTATGCCCCTTTCCCTCCAGAGCGCACATTGAACAACTTGAGGATGTGCATTGCTTTTGCCTCCCGTGGGACGCACGGAGACATACTAATGCTATATGTTCTCCTTGGAGGCGACCCGAGCATGTAGTATACCCATCTTGTAGCACATCGTTTCCCGAGCGGTGTGGCCAGAACACGCCCGCCACGACGCATATACTATAGATTTCTCGGTGCGCGCGTCGCCCCTGGAGGGGCGACACACACACACACACACACAGTACTAATCTGTTGGGGTGACGCCGATCCCAGGCGCCCTCCGGATGGTCTTTGAGCGGTCTCTGGGGGCCTCTTGGGTGCTCCTTGGACCCTTCGGGCGCGAGCGGCTAAGTGGAAAAAGGGACGATGCGGGGACACCACGAATTCGAAAGCCGAAAGCAACTCACGGAAGCTTTTGGTCGTCCTCATGGCGACCCCTAGCGGGCCCACTCGCGCTCAAAGCGGACACACTGCATCTCCCCCAAATGGCGCTCTTGGGCGCTATTGGTCGCTATTGGGCGCGCAATATGAATGCTATTCTGCGCAACTGGGCGCTATTGGATGCTATTGTGCGGTATTCGCGTATTCGCAGACATACATGCTTTCCAATACGAGCGGCATCTGCTGCAACTCGGTTTCTCACGCGAAGGGGCGAGCGCTGGCCGCTCGCTCGACGGCGTCCGCGTTGCCCTCCCCATCCCCACTGGCGTGACACTTGCCCCACTGGCCAAGCTCCCACCTGGGTGGGGAAATATGCCTGCCCCTTCGGGCCTCGCGGGGCCTACGCCCACCTGGGAGGGTTGGCTGGCGGGGCTGAAGTGTCGTGGCCCAGTTGATTGCGTGATGATCAACCAGTGGCAGGAAAACAAAAGCATTTGCCCACGTTGGAGAGAAATTGGCAACTCTCTGACGATGTCGTGTGGACTATGGGCCACGTCCACATCGCACAGCGGGGGGGCCGGGAAGGGCCCTGCCACTCCCTTGCAAAAAACGCCTGCACGATCTGCGGCTGCCGCGATCGCCGGGGGCGACCTCCCAAACAGACCCGGAGGTGCGGACCGAGGTAGGTTATAACGCAACGACCAGCGGGGAATGGATAAGAAGGCTAGACTCGGGGGCGCGCAAACATGGATTAGCGATCCATGGATTTGGCGCGCGGTCGCCAAACCGATGGATCGGGGGAAGCGCCCTCCCCAACATGCGGCTGGTGCCGCCCCGTTCGGCGGCGGGAACCCGCGATTTCCCATGGAAACGGGACCCGTCGCTAATCCACGCGCCCTTAATCCATGCTTGCGATCGCCTGAGATAAGAAGGCTAGACGACGAAGACACATGGAAGATCAAGAACATCTCTTCCCCCCCACCAGCAGGACGGCGAAAGGCGACATGCCCAATGCAGAAGGTGCAGACGGTGGGTCATGCCCCACCTGCGCTGTCAGAGCTCCTTCTCCTCCTCCTTCGTTTTTTTCATCTTCTGCAGACAGTCCTGCGAGGTTTTCGAGTGCACCAGAAATTTGGGGTCCAACCCTGGGATATACAATGGGGGGGGGCGTCCATTCTCGCTAGGGGTTCGTTCGAGTAGCCCCCTGGGGTGTATCCCAGGGTTCTCCCCCTTTCCTGAGCCTTTCCATTTTTCGTCGAAAAGTCGGGGGTTGGGGGGGAAGCATCGCCTGCGATTCTTTACAGAAGTCTTCGATGGGGATGGGATAGGTCAGACGGTGCTGCGAAGGGGCCACCGCGAGGAGGCGTACGCCGGCCGCTCGCAGCGCGGGCCGCTCGCAGCGACGCTCCAGGCGGATATGATGCACCTCCCTCGCAGAGCGCTTTGGATCGCTGTCGGGCGCTGCTTGAGCGCCGTTCGGCGCTACTGTTAGGCTGGGCGTGTCCTCCTACAGGCGGATTTAGAAGACAAATGGAAAATAGTAGAAACGTGTTCAACAACAACCAAACATAATAGAAAATCGTCCCCGCATTATTTTTCGACTCTTTTTGAATATTTCTCCAGTCGAGGAACATGCCCGGCTTAACGCTGATGGGCGCTATAGGGTGCTACTTGGCGCCCTTGGACGCTACTGGATTCAGTCGGCCCAGGGCGAGCGGAAGCTTCCGCCGAGATCTACTGCTCCACAGACCTCTTCAGGGGTGCGTTCTGACCAAGATCTTGAGGCGAATCCAGCGGTGGCGACGAGGGCCTCCCCGGAGGCTCGAAACGGCGACAACCAAGGGCGATGTCCAAACATTTTCGAAAACGGCCCCCGAAGTCCCGACTCTTTCACCAAGGCTCGATTTCCATCGCGAGTCGTTTTTGACGGTGCTGGGGCCCGCCGAAGGCTCCCAAAAAGAATGAAAGCAACCAAAAGCCTCCCCTCGTGATGCTTGTCATGCTTGCCATCCGTCGGACGTCCATTCCCCGTGCATTTTTCGGCTTCGTGCGTTTGTTTTCTTACCGAAAATGTTGATCTCACGGTGTGCCATCGCTCCGGCGCTCATTCCCCGTGCATGTATCGGCGTCAGGCGTTTTTTGGGGGGGCCGGGCCCCCGCCGAGGGCCGAACGGTGCCACACTCGGCGGCCGAGCGCGGCCAGAAGGTGTCTCGGAGGCCTGGAGATTGGCACCAACACCAACACAGGGGTTTGCCTCCACAAGGGAGAGATGATCCTAGATTTCGGTGCTATATTTCGGCCACCTTGGAAGCCAGAACCTTCCCACCATCGCTGAGACCGGGATCTTCTTCCCTCGGTGGAGGCACACCGCCGATATTGGTGTTGGTGTCAACCTCCAGGCCTGCGATTCTTTGTCACGCGGAGCCGCGCGCCGGCCGCTCGCAGGCGCGGCGCTCCTGAAGCACGGCGTCCGCGGTGCACTGTCGGCCCCAGCTGGGGTCTCGGCGGCCGGCGCGGCGCGCGCCGGGTGCTCCAGCGGCGGGGCCCGCCGCGGCGGCTCCTGCCAGGCATGGGCTGGCTCGAATCGATGTCATCTTTTATTTCTTTTGGGGGGGGCACTAATGGCCCGACCAGTACGCTGGACCGAACCGATAGATTGACTCGGATCGGAAACGGGTCGGATCGCCAAGGGATCGCCCCGAATCGGATCGAAACCGGATCGCCGCGCCAGGCTCCGGCGGGCACGGGCTGGTGCGGGTGAAACGGGCCGAATCGAATCGAATCGGAATCGCGGCCCCAGCTGGCGAATCGAATCGCATCGAATCGTAGGCGGCCCTGCCTGTGGCAAGACGAAGCCAGGACGAACATATCTTTTGTTGAGATTTACCCTCCAGGCCTCCAAATCCCACTCCTCATGGGGGTGGGGGAACTCGTCGCCGCGGAGGGGGAAGCGACGAGCACGCCCAAACTCCTCAGTCTGAGCTGTCTGAAAACAAATCCACCTCGCCTCCACTCACGACAAGACGAAGACAACATCATCGGAAATCTCTGAGATCTGGCGGCTCTGGAGAATGTCTCAGGCGCCGCGGCCTTCTCAGGGCGTTCCGGAACGCTCCGAGAACGTTCCAGATCGCTTTGGAACGGAAATATCCTCGTCCAAACCTGGTGTCCCTGGCATTGAGCAAATGTACTGTGAGGTCGGGCGTGTCCCCCTACAGGGGGATTTTTGGCGAAAAATAAAACATGCCCCAAACACGCAAAACAACAAAACAATCAAACATGGTCGACAAATCGTCCCCAGACTATTTTTGACTACTTGTGACAATCCCCCCTGTAGAGGGACACTCCCGACTTAAGTGCACAGGGTGGGGCACAGACCCTGACCTTCCAGGCGGGCGAATATCACCAAGACCTTGACGTCTCACTTCCAGTCGAGGCGTCAAGCACCCTGGATCAATACATATATCTATACATATATATATATATATGTATAAATATGTGTAGGTATGGAGGGCTCTTTTTCTACAATCTCTGGAAAATTGATCGGGGTAGACTACACGGCCAGAAACAATTATAACAAAATCCACAATACGATTCTCTGGAATGACCTGCCATCGACAACGCCGACAGGATGATCATCAAGTGATGCTCGCCCTTCAATGTTGGCAGCGTGCGCAGGAGTGCGTCAAGGGCAGGTGATCGACATGTCTTCGGTTGGTTTGCGCGCGACATTGAGAGGCGGATGCCACTTCATCCCTGGGTGTTGTTCCTACGTGGTCCTTCGCTGGGCCGCAGGCATTGCTGATTGCATATCAAATCATACAAACTGAACCCAAAGAGAACGTCTGCCGTGCACCGGGCAGTGAGCCGTTCATGGTGTTTCGTAACATTGGTAGGCCGACAGCACTTCTCGACGCTTCGCGTATCCCCACCAGAGGTTGCACTCGCACTCGTGGCCGCTGGTACACTTTGGTTTACTGGGCGGCGCCTAGGTGCGTCTGCTGGTGAATGCTGAGCATTTTGTTCAGTGCATGTGCACCGCACGCTCTGTGTGCAATTAGCTTTGTGCCGCCTGCCCCGGACATCGCCTGTTGCCACCAGACCGTCGTCGCGCGGCCGCCGACCAAAAAAAAAAGTATCCCCACCAGAGCGTAGGCATCTGCGCACACGTCCTCGCGCTGTCTGAGTGGGTTATGCCTCACGGCATACACCGAATTTCCTGGCATTTTGCTAGGCTGCGCGTTGCCCGAGCTTCCCTGGATGCCCTCAGCCTGTCAGCTTCCCCGCGAAGCCCCGCAGCCGCTTGGTGAGTGGGCCGGCCGGCCTGCGGCGCTCCCAATAGCTATTTAGGCCGTTACCGTGTCCCGGAACGCTTCTGAGTCCGCCTGCGCTTTCGCTTGCGGACGCGACCGGACAATATCCCCACCAGCCCATCCAGAAACGATGCCCAAAAAAGCTGACGGAAGAAAGGAAGAAGCGACTCACATAGTGAACCGGAGCGGGCAACAACGGTGAATGGGGAGATCTTTTGTGGCGAAGGTTGCAAGTGTTATTGCTGCTGCTCTTGCTCCTGCTGGTGCTGCTGCTGCTGCTGTTGCTGTTGCTAGTGCTGCTGCTGTTGTTTGCTGGTTCTCGGATGATGAGTAGACGCATAAGGGGGAGGAGGAGGAGGAGGAGGAGGAGGAGGAAAGGAGGAAGAGAATAAGAAAAAAACAAGGAGAAGGAGGAGGAAGCAGGGCGGACAGATGATCCTCTTAGGATGTTTCTGGGGGGTTGTTTTGGAAACCTCTTGGAGCGTCTGGGGGGGATCTTGGGGGCTTCGGGGATCCTCGTGAAGCCTCTTCGGGTCTCTGGGAGGTCTCTTGGATGCCTCTCGGAGCCCCTTGGGATATCTCGTGGGCGGTTGTTTTGAAGTCTGTTAGGACGTCTCGGGGGTCTCTTGGCGGTCCTGAGGACTCTTGGGCGTCTTGGGTGCCTCGGGGAAGCCGCTTGGGGTCATCTTGGGGGTCTTTTGGGGGTCTCTTGGGGCCATTTTGGGGCTATCTTGGGGCCATCCTGGGGCCTATTGGGACCTCCTGGGCGCCCCTTGGGCCCGTCTGGGCTCCTGTGGGGGCCTTGTCGGAGCGTTCTCGGGAGCTTTAGGGGCTCTCTTGGGAGCATCTTGGATGATATCGGTGATCGAAGGGGGGGGTCCTTAATTACGCCCCAACCAGGAGGCCAAAATGGGGCCAACACCCTAGTAAAACCAATGATGTTTGCTTCCTCGCCGAGGCCGTTTTGGACGTTCCGACACCTCGCGAATCCCCCTGTCCAGGTCCATGGGGAGGGGGTCGGGGGAGGGGTAAAAAGTAAACCCCTCCCCGAAGGGGAAAAAGGAGGGGTGGAAGAGGAAACTCTCTAAACCACCGACGCCCAGACGGCTGGTGGGATTAATGCGAAGGGCACCGACCGCAATGTTTCAACGACGCTTCCGCTTCCATCCCCGCGCCATTTCTGCAATTCCTGAGCTCCCTTCTTACTGCCGACAATTGCGGGAGAGTAATCACGGAGCAGGATCCTGCTGTCGGGGCCGCCGCCAGGCACAAGCAAACTCAAACTCTCGACAAGGCGAGCTCGCCCCGATGACAAAATCACCCGGAGGCGGAAAACTTGAAGGACATCAATCGGCGGCGGACCCAAAGAGAGCAGCGGAAACCCGTGAGATCACGACAATCCAGAGCTAACTTCTGACTGCCCACATCTGCGAGAAGCGGAACACGAAGCAAGATCCTGCCTGCCGCCGGGGCCGCCGCCAGGCACAGGCAAACTCAAAGTCTCGACGGGCGAGGTCGCCCTGAAGGCGAAATCGCCAGAGATGCTCCCGATTTTGCTGAGCAGTCTGGCAACGCCGAAAAATTGTCGACGCACTGACTTAGCGCTTCATGGATAATGCCACCAGTGGCGCTTACTTCAGCTACTTCAGCGGTGTGAAAAAGACGCGCCAGCGCAACGCATAACACGCGTTGAAACACAGCCCCCTTCTTGGTATTGAACCCGCCCTTGGGCAGGAAACCCTGGAGCTGCTGGTGGGAGCGATGAGCGCGGCTACAATTGCCAGAACGCCCCGCCCGGGGCCCGCCCAGCGAGGCGCCCGAACCGGTCCCGGGTCAAGGTCGCCAAACATCTGCTCTGCATCTATCTTTCAAGGCGCGCCCCGCTGACGCGTCGAAATAATGCGGGGCGCAGCGGCCCGACGGCGAGCCAAAGCTTTGAAGCGGGGAAACAACCGTCACCTAGACGTCTTCGGGTCTCAACGCTCCAAGCGATACGCAAGGACAGACTGACGCAAGCGAGCGTCGCAATGATAGCATTCACGTGTTGGAGACTTCAAAGATCGCCTGCAGATGAGGCTTGAGGTTGGGGAGACCGAGGAGGTGAAGGTCGGAGCGAACAAGTGGCGCGCCACGGCGACGCGTCGGCGCGTTGCAAGGGGCGCCAGCATGCTGGCCTCTCAACCGGCCTGCTCTTGCCCACGACAAAACCGATGAGCGGTTGCATGGGCGAGAGAAATCGCACTTATCTCCGAAGGTCGCTTCCCGCGTGGGCACCGGCACGCCTAAATCGGCGACAGCTCTATCATGCCCTCCCGCGCCTGGGGAAAATCCGGCATCGCTGGCGGGTCGGGCAAAACTAGCGCCGCGGGCGAGGACAAGCAGTGGCGCGACTAACTCAAACTCATGGCGCGGCGGCACTGGGCGGCGGGCAGCTTGCGCAGCGACTCGGCCAGCAGCCCCCCCCCCTCGCATTTCCGCGCGGAACTCCCCAACTCCCAGCGCGCCCCTGCGGCGGATCAGCACGAGGCCGCGCAGGGCCGCGGCGCAGTCGCGGCTGGGCCCCGATCGACGGAGCTGGTGGACGCAGCTCGCCCCGAGCTTCGCCGGCCCCGGGGCGCGCGCCGGCTCGCGCCAACCGTCGGCCGCGGCCGCCCAGACGCCAGAGCGAGGGCGCCAATGCGACGCACGATGCCCAACTGTCTGACTGCGAGCTCTCATTCTGGGAGCCGTCGGGACAGACGCGAGGGGATCCCCCAAGACAAGCAGCCTCTTACCGTGATTCCGAGACGTCCTGAGAGCATGACGAACGCGGCAAAGGACAGCGCGAGCCTCGAGAGCAGGCACTCCCTCGAGACAGCCCCGCTTTCGACGACCGGCGACATGCCGACGGGGCTGCTCCAGGTGTTTCGTCGGCACCTCGGGAAAGGCAGGCAGATCTCGATCCACGGGCGGACCGACGGGCTGGCTGTCATCGGACTGACGGACGGAGGCAAGCGCGGCGGCTTCCTGCCCAGCGTCGCCGGCCGCGGCCCCGTCGGCGGCGCGCTCAGCGGCGGGGGCGCGGCGTCGAGGGCGCAAGCGCTCAGCCCTGCCATGGCGCCGACGCTCGCTGTGACGCCCGACCTCCCGAACGGCGGACACTTCCCAATCGGCCTCGCAGGCGACCAACCCCCCGGGGGGGGCTTCAACGCGGCCGATGGCAAGGGGGCAACTGGGCACGGAGGTCACGCAACAATAGAGTGGCGTCACGAAATCAGGCCATGAGCTCCTGCCTCGCCTGT